GATCAAATCCAATCTACCAGGCCTCGCATGTCCTGACTCCTGCCTAGCTCTCTGGCCATTCTCATCCTTCATTCACTATACTAAATCCACAGCTTCTTTCAGCCCTACTAATATGCCAAATTCTTCCTTGATTGCAAATGATGTTAGAATGCTCTTTTCTCTACTCTTCCCAAAGTTAGTTCATGCTCATCAGTTCAATTAAAAGTCATCTTTTCACAGAGGCTTTCCCAGATCACTCTTATTAAACTAGATTTTTCCCTACTTTTCTCAATTCCTTGTTTGTTTCCTTCATAGAAAGTACCATAATTTAAAATCACTTCATTTTTCTGTTTTTGTTTTGTTTTGACTCTTCTAAATGGTAGCTTCAAGAAGAATGGACCATGTTTATTTTTATATACACCAGGGCCTAGTACAATACAGCACTTAACAAATATTTGTTGAATGAATAAAGTGTTATCCCATCTATGAGATAGGTCCCAAAGTAAGTCCCATTTATGCCCATAATTACATAAAAACATATATAAAACTAAAATATCATAGTGTGGTATTTTATCAAGTTACTCTTTTGAGAAATGATTATTCATACGCAAGTCAATGGCTTCCAAATTTTCACTTGTTATGCCATACTAAGAAAATAATTTTATACTACAATCCACTACATACTATACATATATATATTAACTGAAACAAAGTTTCACAGAATTATACTTACTCTTGATAAGGGAGACATACTTTGATAATTTTCGAGTGAATGTCATATATTTTAACCATTTTTATATGATTTTTCTGAACTACTAAATAGTTGAAAGACAATAATGAATACTACTTTCATTCTGATTTCAATAAATTAAGCCAATAGCACTGATTCAAAAATGCAAAATGAATCGGTTAGAGAAAGATAATTCAATTATATTACCAATTCTAAATTACCACAAACTCCAGGATCATATTCTAACCAGTCATTAATCAAAATATGTTAACCTATAAATATAGGATTCGACTAGGAATGCTTGCTAAGGAGGAGCCCCAAAGTGATTTCAGATTGGAAAGAGAAAGATGAAAATCAATGCAAGTTTTCTCTATCTCATCTAATATCAACTCATTCTTGCAGACCAACAGGTCAAAAACCTTGGTGTTATCCTTGACTCCTCTTTCTTTCATCCCCCAAATCCAGGGCACTATTAAATCCTACTGGCTCTACCATCACAGCACATTCAAAATCTGATACTACACTATGTCTTGCCTTAATTACTACAACAGACTCTAACAGGGCTCCTCAATTCTGTCCTTGTCCCCTTTCAGTCTATTTTTTTTTCCAGAGTCTCACTACGCTGTCCAGGCTGGATTGCAGCGGCAGGATCACTATCACCTCAGTCTTGACCTGCTGGGTTCAGGCAATCCTTCTGTCTCGGACTTCCAAGAAGCTGGAACCACAGGCATGGACCAACATGCCCAGCTAATTTTTTGATTTACTGTAGAGATGACGTCTTGCCAAGTTGCCCAGGCTGGTCTTGAACTCGTGGGCTCAGGCAATTCTCTCACCTCCGCCTCCCAAAGTGCTGAGATTACAGGCATGAGCCACCTGCATTATTTTCTTCTTAGCACTTACCACTATCTGACATGGTATATATTTCAGTAATTTACTCTGCTTAATGTCTTTCTCCTGCAGCATCTAATCTCCACAAGGGCATAATTGTTTATTAACTACTGTATTCCCAGCACTTATAAGAGTATCCAGCACATAGCAAAGACTTAAAAAAATATCTGAATGACTAAGTGACTAAATGAATGGGTAAGAATGAACAAGACAGTCGGGCTTGGTGGCTCAGTCTGTAATCCCAGCACTTTGGGAGGCTGAGGTGAATGGATTGCCTGAGCCCGAGGGTTCGAGACCCGTCTGGGCAACTCGGAGAGACCTCATCTCTACAATAAGTCAAAAATTAGCCAGGCATGGTAGCGCACACCTGTTGCTCCAGCTACTTGGAAGGCTTAGGCGGAAGGATTGCCGGAGCCCAGCAGATCGAGGCTGTGGTGACTGGAGGCGGCCATTGCACTCCAGTCTGGGTGAAAGAGTGAGACTCCAACTCAAAACAAAAACAAAAACAAAACAAAGCAAAAAAAAGAATGAACAAGAAAACAAAACAGGTTAGATAAGAATGGCTACCTGCTGGTAAAGAGTTATGGCTCAAGCTTCAAAGGAAGCCATGCTACTTGGAAGGCTGAGGTGGAAGGATTGCCAGAGCCCAGCAGGTTGACACTGGGGTGGCCATAAGTGTGCCATGGCACTCCAGCCTGGGTGACAGGGTGAGACTCCAACTCAACAACAACAACAAAAACAAAGGAGGTCATGGCATACTAGTGATATCTCTGGCTACATCAGCATGGGATGAAACGGATTAGCAACTATTACTCAAGACTGAATTAATGTCCTCTTTAAGCACGGAGTGTTCCTTCCAAGTTCACCATCTATTCTGAAGCAAACAAAAAGAAATCTTGAGGAAATAAGATCACAAGTGGAAAATATGATTGCCTACCCATTATGAACTATGTTAATCATCAAGTTTATTATGAAGCAAACACCAGAGGACATTGCTAAGGCTAGAAGTGTGATGTGATGCTATGCAGACAAGAGAAATCAAAACATATATCTAAATCAGATTCTGCCATTAATTAGCTATATGATCAGAATCTTTCTGAATGTGTTTAGTCTGCCTCTGTTAAAATAAGAATCACCATCAACCAAGTCATACTTTCAACTAGTTGTTTTGAATATGAAATAATGGAAAAGCACTTTAAAAGCACAAAATGAACCAGGCTTGGTGGCTCAGCCTTAATTCCAGTACTTTGGGAGGCCGAGAAGAGTGGATTGTCTGAGCCTGAGGGTTCGAGACCAGCCCGGGCAATTTGGCGAGACCTCATCTCTACAATAAATTAAAAAATTAGCCAGGAGTGGTAGCGTGTACCTGTAGTTCCGGCTACTTGGAAGGCTGAGGTGGAAGGATTGCCAGAGCTCAGCAGATCAACGCTGGGGTGGCCATGAGTGTGCCACTGCACTCCAGCCTGGGGGAGTAAGACTCCAACTCAAATAAATAAGTAAATAAGTGAAAGCACAAAATGCCACTGGGCGCGGCGGCTCATGCTTGTAATCCCAGCACTTTGGGAGGCGGAGGCAAGAGGACTGCCTAAGTTCAGGGGTTCGAGACCAGCCCAGGCAACTTGGCAAGTCCTCATCTCTACAATAAAAAAAAATTAGCTGGGCATGGTGGCATGCGCCTATAGTTCCAGCTACTTGGAAGGATGAAGTGGAAAGATTCCCTGAGCCCAGTCGGTTGAGGCTGCAGGGGTTGTTGAGTGTACCACTGCACTCCAGCCTGGGTGAAAGACTCCAACTCAAAAAAAAAGAAAGGAAATCACCATTATCCAAGTCACACTCTCAACTAACTGTTTTGAATATGAAATAATGGAAAAGTAGTTTTAAAAGCACAAAATGTAGCCCAGCGCGGTGGTTCATGCCTGTAATCCCAGCACTTTAGGGGGCGGAGACAAGAGGATTGCTTGAGCCCACAGGTTCAAGACCAGCCTAGGCAATACGGCAAGACCTCATCTATACAATAATCAAAAAATTAGCTGGGCGTGGTAGCAAGCACCAGTAGTTCCAGCCACTTAGAAGGCTGAGGTGCAAGGATTGCCTGAGCCCAGCAAATCAAGGCTGCAGTGGCCACGAGAGTACCACTGCACTCCAGCCTGGGCATCAGAGACTCCAACTCAAAAAAAAAAAAAAAAAAAAACCACCAAATGCCATACGAATCCAAGAGGCTACAACTCTGAGTTTATTAAATTATTGTCCATTAGGAAGATTTATCAAAGACAATGTTCTTTTGGGGAAACTTTTAGGTTTTTATAGAATTATGAATCAGGATGTAGAGATTTCTTCCTTTTCAAATTAATAGAAAAAGTATTTTCTAGTATATGTGCTTCAGAGAAAAAGAACAGAAATCAACTTTTTTCTCAGTTACCAGTTTATATTATGCAAGAGTTTACAAGGAATTGATTACAAAGTCATTAACCTGTTACTCAAGTTAAAATGGTCCACACACCAAAAAAGGAAAAAAAAAAAAAATCAAAGTTCCAACCTAATCTTTAGTAGCTGCATATGACTAGCTGTCGGGCTGGGAAAGATGACTGCAAAGGAGCAAGAGAGAACTTTTTTTTAGGGTGATGGAAATGCTCTGTCTTAACACGGATGGACATATTTATCACAACTCAACAAAATGTACATTTTAGATGGGCACATTATAGTGTATGTAAACTACATCTCAATAGTTTAAATAAATAAAAAAAACTTGTTAAAAGTGAAATCATTCAGTTGCACTGTGGTCTCCAAGAGAATCTTTGTAATGAAATTTAATACAACAGCCTTGAAGATTTAAGAAAGAGGGTGACAGAAAGTGCGTCAATGACTGAAAAACAGGTCAATTTATGGCCTCTGGCCTCAAGGTCAACTCAGAGTAGGAGGAAAAAACAAGCAAAAGAAGCATAATCAAGCTAGGGAAGGGAATTTCAGCTTCTCAAGAAAACGAAAACCAAAAATGTTATTACTTGAGAAGGCATAGAGAAAAAAGCACAGGTTTGGGGGCTCTTCAGAGATAGGTTCGAACGGATGTAGGCCGTTAAGCTTGTAACCTTGAGAGTCCTCAACCTGAGCCTCAGTTTCCCTTCCTGTAATATGGAGATAATAATGGCTTAGAGTTTAGCCCAGCACACAGCCAATGCTCAGTACATAAGTGACCCACGATATTACATACGGCAAGAGAATTTGGTGCTAACTGGAAATACAGGCAGACCCAAGGCTCCCCCAGCCTCCCTCTCGGAGGGTCGGGGTCCCTTTCGTACGCCGTGTCGCCCTCAACCAGGCTGCCCTTCCCCGCCCCACACACACCACACCACCCTTTACACCCCTCATCCCAGCAGCCCAGGGCTTCCCACCTCCCGAGCCCCACCTCGTTGAGAAAGCGGGTGATATCGTAGACTCGTCCGTGGATCACCAGCCACAGATCCTCCGAGGAGTTGCGCTTCGCTACCTCCTCCAACCGGTAATATGTGACAGAAGTCTCGACCCCCTGCCCTTGCTCGTCGCTGCCGCTACCTTCCGCGGTCGCCATTAGGCCCGAGACACCTCCTCTCCAACGCTAACGGGGCCTCTGTGGCTCACTTCCGTGGGGGCAGAGCCCGCGTTCAGCCCTCCTCGGCATCCGTAGCCAAAACCCATACGGCCTTGGGAGGGAACCTAGCAACAGCCAATCTCACTTCCGAATAGCTCCTGGTTCGTTTTATTTTCACCAATGAAACGAGGGGTTCAGTTCCCAATCCCACCCACTCCTCACCCGATGCTCGAGGTGAAAAGCTGGTTCGAGGTCCTACTAACCAATCAGAGTCGCCAAGCTGCTCCAGCCTCGCCAATCAGGTACTGTGATTTTGGACCGGCGCCGAAGAGAGACGTGTTCTGACATGTGTCACCCCCGGAAAGGATTTCTTCACTCAGCCGGTGGGCCCGCAGAGCCCTAGAAGAGGGGGCCGTTTCCCGCTTCCCTTCCCTTCGCTGTGGATCTCTCCTGAGTCACGCGAAGCTCATTCTCCCCCGCTTCCTGCGCGGCCTGCCTTCCAGCCCCGAGTTTTGATCTTTGCTGCCTCCAGGCTGTGTGATCTGGCGAATTCCGTCTCTCTCAAGCTCGGTTTTCTCCTCCGTAAAATGGGCGCGATAGCCTCCAACGTACCGAGGGGTTTCCCTGCTTAAGCGAGAGAGTGTCTGTACAGCGCTTGGCGCGTAGTAATCGCTACATAAATGGTCACCGCTGTTAGAAAGACTGGGCCTAGGCGATTGGAGGTGGGGTACGGATTTTCTGCCACTCGTCAGGAATCTAATTTGAAAACGAGTTCTTTGGTAATCAGGATCTATCTACCCTATTTTAGTTCCTACGTGATCTAAAATAGAACTCATCTCAGCTGCCCGCCGCTGGAGGCCCCGGCACTTTGGAATTCCAAGTTTGGTTAATGAGCCATGTTGTGAGCTACTTATTTTTAACTGCCATTATAACTGATAGGTTGATCTTCCTATAATGTCATTGCCATCATGTCACTCTCGCAGCCTGCCAACCACGGCTTCCACAACGCACTGGCAACCTCTTTTGCTAATATTTTCCGCAATTCTCTTGTATAAGCCTCGTGCACCAGCCCTGGTTTCTAAACCTGCTGGTTTTACACCCACATCAGCGGTCATTCCAGGTCCACTCAGTTGAGGCAGCCTTTTCTTTCCAGTACCTACTCACTTTTCAAGTTCCTCTTCCATTTCTTCGTGTCTCACAAACTCTTCTACTGTTCTGAGCTCCAGTGGTTCCATCCCTGTGTAGCACCTAAACATATACTATTTTAGGAAACGCTCTGCATCTGAAATTTTCCACTTTCCATATTTTTACTTCCCTAATTGACTGATACCATGAGAACAATTCCATATGATCCTTAGGTCCTCCACAAACTTTAGATTCAAATACTGACATGTATTTCAGAGATATTTACGGAATATTTACTGTCACAAGTCTTATGATAGGCTCTGCGAATAGAAAGGTAACACAAGAAACAGAATCTCTGAAATAAAACATGTACAGACATACACATACTTACATCTATAATTTAAGTGCTACAATAGAGATTTATACCAAATACAAGGAAGCATAGCTCTCAATACATACTTGTTAAAAGCATAATTCATACTTAACCCTGGTGGACATGAGTCACCTGAGGGGGCTGTGTTAAAAATGCAGATTCCTGGCTGGGCACTGTGGCTCAAGCCTATAATCCCAGCACTTTGGGAGGCCGAGGTGAGAGGATTGCCTGAACCCGCGGGTTCAAGACCAGCCTGGGCACCATGGTGAGACCTTGTCTCTACAATAAATTAAAAAATTAGCTGTGCGTGGTAGCACGTGCCTGTAATTCCAGCTGCTTGGAAGGCTGAGGCGGAAGGATCACCTAAGCCCAGCAAGTCGAGGCTGCAGTGGCCAGGAGCGCGCCACTGCACTCCAGCCTGGGTGACAGAGTGAGACTCCAACTCAGAAAAAAAAAAAATGCAGATTCCAGCCAGGTTTAATGGCTTATGCCTGTAATCCCAGCATTTTGGGAGGCAAGGCGAGAGGATTGCCTGAGCCCAGGGATTCAAGACCAGACCAGGAAACTTGGCAAAATCTGGGCTCTACAATAAAATAAAATTCTTTTAAAATAGCTAAGTGTGGTGGCGCATGCCTGTAGTGCCAACTACTCGGAAGACTGAGGCGGAAGGATCACCGGAGCCCAGCAGGTCGAGGCTGCAGTGGCCGGGAGCAGCCTCTGCACTCCGGACTGGGTAACAGAGTGAGACTCCGACTCAAAAAAAAAAAGACTCTGAAAGGATGGTGTGAGAGAATCTCTCAGCAAAGAATAGGGTTGGAGAAATACAGCTGGAGTATAGCAAAAGCAGGCATGCCCCTAGAGTGGAGAAATTTCCAAGACTGGGAAGAGGAGAGTGAGTGGGGATTACTCCAGTAGCAGGGAGCCCACCAGCTTCCTCAAAGCACCTGGGCAGGCATAGGACTTCAGAGAAGAAAGGCTACATTGTGTATGGGGAAAGACTGCACTCTTGGCATCAGGGTTCCCAGGTAGCAGACATTCCTGAGTCCTGGTATGGAGTCTGTTAGCTCCGCAACACATCTCTCAGATGGTGACTAAGGTGGACTGAATGTAGAAAGCCCTTCCTGAATGTTCTACACTGTGTAAAACCCCTGGAGGGAAGGAGAGAAGCACCAATAAATGATGAGACTGAATCTGTCACCATTGTGGTAACTGGAATTCATATCAAAGAGTTTTTAAATTATTTAATGATTTTAGAATTTCAAACAGGTAAATTGCAAGAATAATACTATGAACTCCCATATACTTTAAACTTAGATTTACCAATTGTTAATATTTTGAAATATTTGATTTCTTTCATATATACATTGGGGGTTTTTTGCTGGGGTTTTTTGTTTGTTTGTTTGTTTTATAATTTTAAAGATGTGGGGTACAATTTAAGGTTAGGTATATAAATGTTAATTATACAGGTGCCCTTGTTGATGAGATGTGCTCCTCCCTCCCTGGCAGTTTCCCTCAACTACCAATCCCATTCCCCTCCCCTGGCAATTTCCCACTACTGCCAATCCCTTTTTTATAGTATTATGATAATTATTCAAGTTCTGCTTATGAGTGAGAACATATGGTACTTTGTTCTTTGTTTCTGTGAAGAAGCACTGAGTATGATAGACTCTAAATCCATCCAAGTTGCTGTGAAGTCCATATGTTTGTCCTTCTTTATGGCTGCATAATATTCCATTGTGTTTATGTACCACATTTTAAAAATCCAGTCCAGCTTCAATGGGCAGAATGGTTGGTTCCATGTTTTTGCTATTGTGAATAGAGCTGCAGCAAACATGAGTGTGTAGGTATTTTTTCTGTAGAATGACTTGAGTTCCTCCAGGTATATTCCCAAGAGGGGGATTGCTGGGTCATATGGAAGGTCAATTTCTAGTTCTTTCAGAAATCGCCATACTGTCTTCCAAAGAGATTTCACTAGTTTCCATTTGCACCAGCAGTGTAGAAGCATTCCTTTTTCTCTGCATCCTCACCAGTATCTGTTTTATTTATTTATTTATTTGTTTATTTATTTTTGAGTCGGAGTCTTACTCTGTCACCCACACTGGAGTACAGTGGCACACTCATGGCCACCACAGTCTCGATCTGCTGGGCTCAGGCAATCCTTCCGCCTTATCCTTCCAAGTAGCTGGAACTATAAGTATGTGCCACCATGCCCGGCTAATTTTTTTATTTATTGTAGAGATGAGGTCTCACCAAGTTGCCCGGGCCAGCCTCAAACCAGCAGATTCAGGCAATCCTCTCACCTTGGCTTCCCAAAGTGCTGGGATTATAGGCGTGAGCCACTGTGCCCAGCCATATATATATTTTATTGTTACTAGCACTGAACCGTTTCAGATCTCTTGACCATTTATCTCCAGATAATTCTGCATGTGTCTTCTAAGAATAAGACTATATTGCTAGGCGCGGTGGCTCATGCCTATGATCCCGGCACTCTGGGAGGCCAAGGTAAGAGAATTGCCTGAGCCCACAGTTTCAAGACCAGTCTGGGCAACTGGGTGAGACCTTATCTCTACAATAAATCAAAAAATTAGCCGGGCATGGTGGCACATGCCTGTAGTTCCAGTTACTTGGAAGGCTGAGGCAGAAGGATCACCTAGCCCAGCAGGTCGAGGCTGCGGTGTCCGTGAGTATGCCACTGCACTCCTGCCTGGGCAACGGAGTGAGACTCAGACTCAAAAAAGAGAATATATTGTTGTGTAACTGCTCTATACTTTTCAAATTCAGAGAATTTAGCATTCACACAAAATTGTTATCTAACATGCTCTCCATATTATTTTCCAATTATTGCAATAATGTCTTTTGTGGAATTTTTGGGTGTCTGTATGATCCAGGATCCAATTCAGGATGGGTATTGCATTTATTCATGTTTCTTTAGTCTCTATTAATCCGGAACGCTTCCTCGGCCTTTCTTTTTTTTTTTTTTTGAGTTGGAGTCTCACTCTGTCGCTCAGACTGGAGTGCAGTGACCACTCCCGGCCACCGCAGCATCGACCTGCTGGACTCCGGCGATCCTTCCACCTCAGCCTTCCAAGTAGCTGGAACTACAGGCACGCACTACCACGCCCAGCTAATTTTGTATTTATTGTAGAGATGAGGTCTCGCCAAGTTGCCCAGGCGGGTCTCGAACCCACGGGCTCAGGCAATCCACTCACCTCAGCCTCCCAAAGGCACAGGATTACAGGCTGAGCCACTGAGCCCGGCTTCTTTTTCTTTCATGACGTTGACATTTTTAAAGATACAACCTCAAACTGAATTTGATACATAAAAATTATGTGCCCTAAATGTATTGATTGCAAATTCATCTTCACAATTTATGGCACGTTAGCTAGAAAAATCTGGCTTGAAACTCTTGTCCCTGCCACTCACAAACTTGGCGACATCAAGTAGATCTTAGCCTCTTTTTTCCCATGTGGATATTCACTTGTTCCAGCACCGTTTGATGAAAACACAGTTCCCCCTAAAATTATTTTCATGTCTTTGTTTAAAATTGATTTGGGCCGGGCACGGTGGCTCAACCTGTAATCCCAGCACTTTGGGAAGCCAAGGTAGAGGCTTGCCTGAACCTGGGGGTTTGAGACCAGCCTGGGCAACTTAGTGAGACCTTGTCTCTACAAAAAATCACACACACAAAAAAAACTAGCTGGGC